ACGCGTCTACGTTTTCTGCGCCTGTCAGCACGTCATCCATATACATATCCTTCCTAATAACTTCACATTCAGATAGATAATTTTCCGCATTTTCCAAGGCAATTTGGTTCAAACAGCGCGTAGCTAGAAAAGCTGCTGGCTTAGTACCATAAGTTAAGGTTTTTTAGGCGTAATGAATTACTTCTGATTGTGTATTTTCGCGCCAAACTATCCCTTGCAGATCAATCTGCTGAGGATCAATCAAAATTTGACGATACATTTTCGTCAAATCGCCAATGAACACTAATGCATGCCTTCGAAACCTTAACAAAATGGAAAACAAGTCATTTTGTAGAATGGGGCCGTTTTTGAGCACGTCATTCAAAGGAAGATTTGTGGAAGATTTAGCGGAGGCGTCGAATACAACGCGAACCTTGGTTGTAATACTATCAGGTTTTTCTACGCTTTGGTGCGGTAAATAATATCTTGGAAAGGATGAATGTATGGATTTATCGTTTTCTGAAATTTCGGTCATATGATTTATAGTTCTATATTCAACTAAAAACGCTTTGTATTGATTTTGTAGCTCTTCATTTTTATTTAATTTCCGTTCAATGCTATATAGTCTATTTAAAGCCATTTTTTCTGAATCGCCTAAATCGCGAAAATTATCTTTTAACGGCAATTTAACAATAAATCGACCTTCTTCGTCACGCGTAATATTTTGTTTAAAATGCTCTTCACATTCGCGCTCCTCTTGCGTCCAATTTTGCTCCAAAGGTTGTGGAACCTCTTCGATATTCCAAAACATTTCGATCTGATTATCTAAATGTTTATCCTGAAGCCCGATGTTATTTATTAGGAAGCATTTAGATTGTCGTTGGTTCAGGGGTACGTTCCCGGCAATTATCCATCCTAATTTGCTATTTTGTAAGATGGGTAATTTTTTCCCTAATATGATTTGACCTGATACTAATAGTTCGAAGAAAAGCGAAGAACCAATCAACATATCAATTTTGGAAGCAATATTAAATTCGGGGTCTGCTAAGGGTAAGTCGGGAATATTTAAGTTGGAAATATCGAAGGAACATTGAGGAGAATGATCGGTTATTTTTTCCAAAACGAGGCATGAAATTGTAGCTGAAAAGTTATTGATAATATTTTAACTTGCGTTCTGAATTTAATTTTTGTTTGAATTTGGTTTATTCCAGAAACTGGCAAATCGATTTTATTTGTCCGCAATTTTAATCGTTCTGCAAGATCTCGAGTCACAAAATTTGACTGAAAACCACTGTCTAGTAAAGCTCGACACAATACTGGTTCACTATTTGCATTTATAACTTGCACAACCGCGGTAGACAATGAAACAAATTGCTCAGGTGAATTTTGAGTGTAATGTGATAGAACCGTATGAGTTGATGACGTGGTTGACGGTTCATTGAAATCTATATTTTGCTGATTTGAGCTTTGAGCAACATTAACTTGTTCGCTTGATTCTTGATTATGAAAATTAGAATTGTTTTCATCTACTTGATTATTCAAAACATTGGACGATTTGTGTAATAAAGTACTATGCTTTGCCCTGCAAATTTTACAACCTCCTGATCTACAATCTGAACTCTTATGACTTTTACGCAAACAGTTTGTGCACAATTTCATTCTTTTCGCTTCGAATAATCTTTTATCTACAGTTAGGTTTTTGAACCTTTGACAAAAATAGATAAAATGATTGTCTTTGCAAAAGGGGCATGATACTTTATTTTCTGTGTCAAATGCATAAAATGACTTTGGTTTGTTACGAACAGGAATAAATGTTTTTGATTCTAACGATTCAAGAATTTGACATCTCTGATTCAAAAATTTTGTGAAATCATCTAAGCTTGGAGCTTCTATTTCTTTGCTAAAATTCTCCCACTCACGCTTAGATTGAAAATCCAATTTTCCTATAAGTAAATAAATGAGTATGGTGTTCCAACTGTTCACCGGTTCACCTAAAGTTTCGAGAGCACGACAATTTTTTAAGAAGGTGTCATAGAGTTTACGTAAGTTTAAATGTGACTCCTTTAGAACATTTGGAAGTTCCATAAATTCCTTTAAATGTGAGTTAACTATAGCCTTTCTGTTTTCGTAACGATCCTGTAACAACTTAAATGCTTTTGTATAATTCGCATCCGTGATTTGAAGTGAAGCGATTACTTGAGCAGCTTCGCCCTTCAACGAACCCTGAAGATGATAAAACTTTTCAATATTTTGCAAGTTTATGTTGTCATGAACTAAAGCTTTAAATGTATCATGAAATTGTTGCCATTCGCTGTAGCTGCCAGAAAATATAGGTAATTTTAATGGTGGCAACTTTGCTAAAGTACTGGACGGCGAGGAAATAGGAGAAGCTTGCGCAGAAGGAAGAGAGGCTGTATGTGCAGCATTTTGTGCAACTAAATCGAGTAACATATCTTTTGAACGAGAAATAGTATTATATTTTGATTCGAATTCCTCTCTTTCTTTGTCCGCTTGTTCTTCATCAATATCATTTTTTATAAATAACTCCTCTTCGAGCTCGCCCTGAACTTTTTTGAAATCGAGTAAAATTTCACGAATTGTTTCGAAACGAGTTTCTAGCTGCGCAAGCGTTCCTTGCGAAGCTTCGAATTTATCTAAGTACGTGACATAACGAGTAAGTTCGGCTTTAATTTGCTTACGACGAGCTTTAAGCCTTTTGACTTGTTCATCAGCCATTTTAAATAAATTAATTATTAAATAAAAAGGCACTCTATAACAAGAAAAAATAATTTTAACGTGAAAACGATTATTTTAATAGGGAGTGAACCCTACGCCTACCGGTAGGTCCTTTGTTATCCAACGATCGTACGCCTACCAGTAGGTCCTTTTTCATCCACCGATTGTGCGCCTACTGGTAGGTAGGTCCTTTTCCGTAAATTGATCAAGCGCCTACTGGAAGGTGTTTTTTTACTTTAGGATCCGTATATCCTACCAGTCAGCTCTTGCTAGCTAAATGTGTTGATACAATTTTGTTTGTTTGTAGAATTGTCATTAAAAAATTCGTCCACTGAGTAATAAGCCTTTTAGTACCTACATTTTTCTAATTTGGGCTTGGAACTTGTTGATGTTTGAAATCTGCTTCATTCTAGACGGCAACCTATTGAAAATCCTTCTGCATACACCTTGGAATTATTTTTGATTGCTCGCTATGCTGGCCAAACCCCAAAGATGAGAGAGAGAATCCTCGGGAGAGCAAATCCACCAAAAACGTGAAAGACCTTTTTCAAATCTATCACTTTCTGGTTCAAATATTTTTGAGTCTGCGATTGCTCGCTCTGCTCGCAGGTGAATCCACCAAAAACGTGAAAAACCTTTATTAAATATAACACCTAACACCTTGAAATTTAAATTATTTTTGAGCCTTTCATTGCTCGCTTCGCTCGACAAACTTCAAAGAGAAGCTTAAATCCACTAAAAACGTGGGAAACCTTTTTCAAATAGGTATATCACCTATCAAACGTAAATGCACATATTATATGCACAATAGGTAGGCGACGGATTCTTGAATTAATATGAACCTACCGGTAGGCTCAGGATTCTTTTTACAAACAGTACCTATCGATAGGCGTTATATCATGTGGCAATTTGGGACCTAGCATAATGTTTTAGCGTTATACATATGGTAGGCACACAATCAATGAAAGAAATGGGACCTACCGGTAGGCGCAGAGTTCACTTCCAATAATAAAACACCTCCAGTAGGCGCTTGCCGCTTGATCAATTTACGAAAAAGGACCTACCTACCAGTAGGCGCTCAATCGGTGGATGAAAAAGGACCTACTGGTAGGCGTACGACCGTTGGATAACAAAGGACCTACCGGTAGGCGTAGGGTTCACTCCCTATTTAATATAGGTACAATAATAATTTCTACGCCACTGATGTGACGTTTCTCAACGTGTGGTTGCTATGGGAGGCAGTAAACGTATAAGATAGCACAAATACATACTAGCAACGTTTTAGGGATATCCGGGTCGGACATTTAGTAAGTCCCGAGTATGTCTTTTGAAAGTCCTTGATCTTCCCTGGGACATACCTCGGATATATTTTGTTACAAAACCTCTCATACTGAGTACGTCCTGGAAAGAAGTCCCATGGACGTTACAGGAGGAAATCCTGGGGCTGTGTAAATAAAACTCCTACGGACGTTCAAAGAGAACTCCTAGGGATGTTCAGAATAGAATATTCAAGGAGGTCCAGAAAAAACATACATGGGACATTTAAAGGGGAATTCCCAGGGACGTCCAAGAAGAACTCCTAGGGATATTCAAATAAGAATTCCCGGGGACGTTTGGAAACGAATTCCTTTGGACGTTCCAAAAAGAGCTTTTTGAACTGATTCAAAAACTTTTTGTACTAGTTCGAATTTGAGAAGTGTGTTTTGATTTGTTTCTGCGTTAAAAACAAACACATTTGAAGAGATAGATGAACACTAAAAGAGAAAGCAAACTAAAATAATACATCATATTGTGGTAAAACAAAGATTTAATAAAAATTTAAAAAAAAAAAACATAATTCTTGAAAACAAACCTATAATAGGCATTTCTCGAAATATTCAAATAAATATTAAAATAAACAGATTATAAATATGCCAATAAAGTGTTTTCATTCTGGTTCAATGGCTGTCATAAGTTGGAATTTTGTGCTAAGAACAAATTGCAACTTATGACGGCCATTAAACCCGAATGAAAACACTTCATCGATAAACCCTTGCATCGAAAGTCCCAGACAATAATTTATTATGATCACCTATCATTATTATTGCAACAAAAGATTTTTTTTAAAAAAAAGGAATAATTCTTGAAAAACTAAAAGTAAACTCATCAAATAAAAAAAAAAAAACAAGTCAATAGAATCTCATGCAACATTTTAAAAAAAACTGAAGTCAATAATTTTGTTGCATTTTACCTACAATTTAGTTAAAAAAAGTATGTAATAGTAAAAAAAAATAAATCGAAGAAAATTATTTCTTTTTATTTTCTTTTGCATTCAGCCTCTCAAAGCTTCGTTTTATGTAACTCTGAATCGCCAATTCTACAATTTTCTTATTATCAAAGCCACATAATTCTGCAGCAGCTGAAAGAAAAATATAATTTTTTCTATCTTTTAGATTATGATGTTCACCTACTTACAAATAAAAACCTTTGCATCAGTTTTTTGATCTAGGCGCTCTTTGCCTTTGCGACCCAACCAACTGTAATTCTTCAAAATGTTATCCCCTAAGACCGCAGACATCGATCTCTTAATAAAGTTGTAGGGGTTTGAGCCCCCGTACTTAGCCAATTCATTGACCTAAAAAAAAACATGTATGAGAAATAAATGTATGTAATTGATTGTTCAAAATATTTTTTGTGATAGGTGCTGTTTTGTAACATGACTTACCGCTTCATTAAAATTTTCAGGTTTACGCATTTCCTCCTCAAAAAAATTAAAATCTTCCTGAGTATTAATTGGAAAGGTGATATTTTGGAATTTATTAAAAATAGATTTAGTCACTGCAGTCCCAGGTTCAACAATTGGACGCTTTTTAATTTCGTTCAACACATCAGTCAAAATTGTCCTCAATAAATGATTTTGGTTTTTCAGATCAGTTAATATCAGGTGTTCTAAACAATAACAAAAGTCTTTAAGCATTTTCTTCAGTTAATTTTGTTTTACTTACCTTTTTGGAAGCAGCAGTTATTGGACGGGGTTACAGGTACAGGTTGATTATCATTGTTCTCTAAAAGTAGTACAAATAATTAGTCAAATGAGTAGTCATAGTCCCCTATTGAAATCGTCTACATATTACCTAATTATTGAAATCCCAATAAATTAGTTAATTAGTTAATTAGGTAATAATTAATACCTTTAGAAGTGGATGGTACTGGATTATATATGTCTTCATTAAATTCAGCGAGATTTTCAGCCTCAACTGGCGAATCTCTCCTCAACTCCTTCTGCTATAAAAGTTTTAAAAAAAACTTAATATTATTTATTCAAAGTTACCTGAAAGGTAATACTTGCCTTATGTATTTTTTTTTTAATGATTAACTTTGGTGCCTTTATTGGCAACTCATCTTCTGCTGATGATGATGAGGACGAGAGCGCTTTCTGAATCCTCTTTCGTTTGCTACTGTTGTCTCTATCGGACAACAGGTCGCTAGCACTACAATATTCTGCTTCTTTAGACTTAGCTCTTGCTCTTTAAAAAATAAATTAACAATAAGTATCCACACCTTTAATAATTTTCCTTACCAAAGGTGGCATTTCTGAAAATTTTTGTCAAATGTCGGGGCCAGTTTATGTTGAGCGCTTCGCATTTCTTTCTGGCATTTGTGAGTTCGTCTTGTCTATAAGGTGGCCAATAGCAATGTTCACCTTGTATTCAGCTAGTTGGTATAGCCTCCACTGTATCGTCTTCAGTAAATTGGACAATCGTCCATGTTTTCTCATCTTGAATTTCATCCATTACTGCATAGATTTAAATTTAGTGTATTCCATCAAGTTAGATTTTAGAATAGTTTATGTCATATAAATGAAAATAAAAAATGGACAATTTTTTCTATATCCTAGCCCAAACTCCGCCAAAAATAACTTTAAAAAATTCAGGTTGAATTTAAAATTTAACATCGCAATGTTGTACAAAAATGTCGCAAAAATGTCCTGTTTTGTTTAATGATATACATTTTAAGAAGGTTGTAAAAAAAAGAAACTATAAACAAATAAAAATCCAGGGTCATATTTATTTAGGAAAATAAAGTCGATGATGGGTTGCTAGAAGACAAAAATGCGAGGGGTTCGCAAATGTTAAAAAAGTGTACTTACATCAAAAATAATTATTAGGGTATTTAACAGTTATTTGTATACCAAGCCGCGAAATGCCTTTTTAGCGTACGCAGAGAAAAGGTAAGATAATCTCGAGGACGCTAAAAAGTTTCGCGGTCATGGTATACACACTATTTTTTCTCCATTATAAAAATTATGTAAAGTTACAGAAAAACTGTATGGATTTGACACATTTTGCATGTAAGGTGTGGCGGCCGCAAAAGCTCATTTTGCGGCCGGTCGCACAAAAAAGTAATTAAATGATATTTAAAGAATTGAAAATTGAAAAAATAGTCCATGACTCAAAGTGGAGTTGAAATTTAATTTCAAAGAAAACACCAAGTCTTCCTCCACAAATATGATATTTAAAGATATTTAAAAATATTTAGAAGCACTAATTTAATAGTTATTTTTGTATCTAGTGCGCGAAATGCTACTTTGGTGATCGAGACTGATTTTTCAAACGAGGCGCAGCAGAGTTAAAAAAATAGTCGAGATCACCAAAGTATTTCACGCACGAGTTGCAAACAATATTTTTTCTACACTCCATTTAAATGTCGATCATTCGGAGCTAAATTGCATTTATTTACAATCAAAAGCAGGTGAATTTAAATTATTTCTGATTACCTGTCAGGTATCTGTCACCATGACTCCGTGCGCAAAATAGGCATTTCGCACACTGGAGAAGCATTTCGCGCACGGCGTCATGGAAACTTGAAAAAAAAAAATACCTGGAAAAAAAAGTGTCACTTTGCAAATTGTCATCAGTGTGCAAACATCAACTTTTTTTGACAGTTCATCACCGTAGTGTTAAAGTGTTCTATTTCCATTTAGTTCAAAACGAGGAAACAAGGTTTGAAGTTTAATCTCGTTTTTTCTGAATAATATAGGCAAAGTCCCATTGAAAATTTATTTGTATGGAATATATATATTCATATTTGTATCACAACCAATTAAACATGTCTTGGACGTCTGTAATAAAATATATTTAAGTTTTTTTATTTTGGATATGGAATAAATACAAAAAAGTAGTGCAGTCCAATGAAATTCTAGGGATATAGAACAAAAGTTAGGGATGTAGAACAACATAATTTTATTATTTCTTTAAAGTATTTCACACACTTTAACTTTAATAGTAATGCATACAAAATCAAAAATTCTTCTCAAAAAGATATCAAACTTATTCCTATTTTCATTTCTTGCTTGTAGATGCAATTCCTTTTTTCTTCGGTTTCTTATTTCCAACCTTGGATGGCTTATTGGTTTTCTTCACCATAATCTGCTTATTTGCAGCAGTTTTCTCCGTGGGCATTAAATTTTTATAGAATATTCTTTCATCTTCGGGCATATAATCCATCATTTCAAGTAAATGTTTTCTTTTCGCATCATTTATTTTTACAGCCAAGTTTATATTTGGGATAGACGTTGGAAACTCTATGCCTACATGGTTGTTATTTCTATATTTTTTCAGAGGCACTAACCTCACCTCAGATAATTCTCCTTCAAATGATGTTTTGAATTTAACATTAAATATTGATCTCTTGTCATAAATTATATGTTTCAATTTTGTGTATGGAATCTCATTGTAATTAAATGTCCCAGAAAGCAGTTGATAGTTCTTGTAGTCAGCTGGTTTCATCTGTAAAACAGAAAATTTCAGCTTCCATGTATTTGGAATCTTCAAGAGTATGCGAACCAGAGTTAGAGGACTCCATATTTCCAAATTCTTAATAAATCTCTCAATGCAGCTGTGAGCTGCGTCGACTTCCTGAACATTGCCATGTCCTGGTTCTCCAAACTTTTGTTCAATCCTCCTCAAATTTCCAGACTCTGGCGAGTTAAGGAAATACTGTAGAGCGAATGACAAAATGGAATTCCTGTTTTGTGGTACGCAACTATCCGACCACAAAATAATTTTCTCTAGCTGCGGATTGTCCTCAATAACTCTTTTCAAAATTCTTATTATAGCATTGGCAATGTGAACACCAGCTCTACCGCAAATAAGCTCATGCCATATTGCATTATAAACAACTTTAGTTTTATCCAAGTGGGCCGTTAAATTGTAGCAACATAACTTCATTTTGTAAAAAAAGTTACTAATATTTGCTTTAGGTAAAGAAAAAGTATTCTCTAGGTCAAAAGTGATTATTCCCACCGTATCATCATCAATATAGGCTTCCCTGTCTCTCTGTCGCTCTTGTCTACCTATATTTTTTCTTTTCAGGTGTTCTTCATATTCCATTTTTTCTTCTGTACTTGCATTTCTATTTACTTTAAAACCTTCGCATTTATCACATAAGTCCTTTTTTGGCTTAAAAAAACTTATGTTATACTCCTTATTAAAAATGGACTTGTATAAATGAAATTTAACGGGATTTTCAACAGTCGTTTTATATAGGTCATACATTCTTTGGATATTTAGATTTTGCTCTAAATATTTTTTTGATGAATTTTGGCGACAATAGTGCGATTCTACTAGAGGAAACGATGAGATGTGATTCCTAACTTTTTCTTTATCTTCGTCTGGAACTACCTTTTTCTGATGTTTTCCTGTAATAGGAGCCCGTGGAACGTTGGACTTGGGACTTTCGACTTTTTGAAAAAAGTAGTAAACCCGACTTTTGCTAATGTTTAAAGTATTCAGGAAAAACTCTTGGCACACTTTAATTTTTACACCAGAGACATAAAGAAAGTAATCGTAAGAATAAGTCTTCCTGCTATTTTCATTTTTAGTTCTTTTTCGTATTGCTGGGTATCTTCTAATATGCTTAGAATAAAAATGATTTTTTATTTCGTCGCCAAGGCTCCAGAATTTTCTGTTTATATTTTCTCTGTCGATAACTGTAATTTTCTCTTCACATTTAAAACTACATTTTTCTGTTTTGCATCCAGTTGTTTTTACCGATTTATGAGCAACTAACTTGCCCTTTGTATTAATATATTCTTTACCATGTTGACGGTTTTCTTTCCGTATATTTTGCTTCCACCCATTTGGATTTCGTTTGCGTTTTCTGGTAGGGGTATTTGTATCAACATTTTCTAAAATATTATTATTTTCTTCGGCCATTATGGTTTCGTTTACATGTTGGGTTTGTGTCTCATCTTCTGGTAGTGTCACACTTTCTTTCTTTAGAATTGTTTCTTGTCCATCCTCGTTAATATCTATTATTTCTAAAACAATTTCATTTTGGGAGTCGCTCGCATTTGCACTAAAAACAAGCATACTTAATGTTTCATATCTTTATTTAAAAACAATCTTACTTCGAATCACCGTTCATGTCATTGTCGTTTGAATCTATCTCAAAGTTTACGTGTTCATCTCTAAAACAATAAAAGTGCATTTAGAAAACATGGTTCACCTACTTTCAGTAGATAAACTTACAAGCCATAAATAGACGGAAGCATAGAGTCTTCTTTATCTATTGTGTCTATCATATTTAGCATTGAACTGTAAAAAAGTTTAGATTGAAATGTTTTTCTGCAAATGAGCAATTACTACATGACCTTATATTTTAAATATGGATTTACAAGAAAATAAGCTGACATTAAAATTTAAACTTATTATTATATTAATCTGTACAATCTTGATTATGTATTTTGATTCATGATTCAACGATTTTCTAAACTTTGTTCTGTTTTTTTTCCTGCTAAATAAAAGCATATAAGGCCATTATAACAATATTTATTCAATAAAAAATCTTACTCCCAAACATCACTCGGGCAGTCTAAAGGTTTCTCAGGTCCTGGGGAACTTGTTCGACTTTCGTACGTTTTATCCTCAGACTCAGAGCTAAGTAATGGAAAATTATAATTTATATAATATTATTAATTAATTATTATCTTCCTACTACCTTCTACCTACTTAGTTAGTATCAATGCGATTTTTTTATTCAAATTATAAAAATGCAAAATTATGTTTTGATGTGTAAACGTAAAACCTAAAATAATCCGTGATATCACTATAGATTAAACTTACCCTTGTGCTTCTAAAGACTCAATTATCACGCTAATCACAATAAATTATTAACAAAACAATAATTTCAATTATTACCACACTTTTCTGAGGAAATTACTCAAAAGCCGGTAGGTGTATTACTCATACTCACTGGAAAGTTATAAGATAGGTTAAGTTGTTTGTGTGTTTGTTTGCCGGTGATAGGTGAATAAACAAAGATACAAGATAGCTATATTATTTAGATCTGAAAGAAAGGGAATGCCAATGGATATAGAACAATATAATTTCATTTAAGGGCAAAGTCTATAAGCACCATTTTAATCTATATCCTAGATGATAGGATATAGAACACAATAATTTTTAGGATAGCTTCAATAGACTTAGAGGATATAGCACAAATAAGAAGTTTGGGATATGGCACAAAATAATTTTTGGCATTTTAAAATTTTGAAGGGATATATAACAAAATATTACTATTTATTTTTTTATTTGAAATGTTTAATATGTGTTTTCAATGGATATAGACCAAGCTAATTTTCCTGAAAAAAATTGTGCAATTAACTCTTTTTCCCCAAAAAATGGATATAGACCATTATAATCCTACGGTGACGAGTTGTAGAAAAAAATATAAATATACTTTGATTAGAGGATTCAACAGAAATTTGAAAACATTTAATAGTTATTTATGATATAAGTG